AGGGTTGTTTGCTAGGATTAAGAGCGAAAGCTTGGTTGCACTCACCAATTTTCTCTTCCAATCACATAAATTGGTGTAGGTCTTTGAAATCCATTGAAAGTTGTAGATGCAGAACAGGTATAGGCGCCCATATTGGGATACATAATCCAGTCACCGATGGAGAGTCGGCGCATATGTTTTTTATCTTCCACTTTATCCAAACTATCACATGTAGGGCCCCATATGGTAGTTGGATATTCCTCAGCTATTTCATTCTAGAAAAAAGGCTTTTATTCATTCTAGAATGCCCAATCTAGGAAAACCAAGCAAAAACCCACAAATAGTGGCATCCCTTCGGGATGAACATGGTCGAAGAGAATGCAGTTGAAGGAGCCATAGACTCCATCATTGATGTAGTACATGTAGCCACGATGCTCGGAATCTTCGGCTGAAACATAGGCATATTAAAGGGCCTTGTATTCTATAAAATTATAGTAACTTACGTTTCTTTGTAATCTTATCTGCAGGGACCTCAGTTGCATGAATCACATTGCAAACTAGAGTAAATGGTGCTGCAGCGAAGAATCTGCAATATTCATATAATGGAAAATTGAAGTTTGCACAGAAAAGTGGGCGGAGCCGGGCGTTGCTATTGGTTGGTTTTTTTGCATATGGGCGGAGCTAAGCGCCACTATTGGTTGATTTTGTTTACAGTCAGTCAAACGGGGCGTGCAGGATTCTTTTGTCTTAAGCTATCAAATTAGCAAATCAACCTACCTTCCTGGTTCAGCGATCAAGCGCACACCCATACTATCCGGGAAGAACTCATCCACTGCTGAACGAATTACTGCTGCAATCTGAAACATATAACCTGAGTTACATAGTTTACCCACAAATATTACCCATGAACTTACGCTTTGAAAAGAAGTGTGATGAGCAGCTCCTGGATAGCCGCCTCCCATATCAAGAATTTTCATGCAAAAACCTAATCCTTCCCCAATATCCATAAGATTTCGCGCATGCGCCACAGCTTCACGATATGCAGTAGGATCGTTGCAGCCAGAGCCAACATGGAAGCTGAAAATGACTTGGTTGTGGTGATTTGCAAGCAGTATCTAATCAGACTGCTACAAAATTCAGGTTTTTAGTTCAATATATGTATTCGGCTGTGATCTTATAGCTAAATATGAATTAGAAAGTGTGGAATTACATTTTTGCTCACCTTAAGGTTAATTTAAGTTATTGTTATCGGAAGGTACATAATTGTTACCTTATTCCAATAACTTCCACGCCTAGCTGCTTAGCTTGAACGAGTAGTTGTGGAGCATCCTTTACCGGATCAGCTCCAAACTTTAGGTTTAAAGGACAAGTAGCGGTCGGATCCGACACGGCAATGCGTAGGATCATTCTGCAAAGGAATTGAGTTTAACTTATTCTTTTTTCAATTTTAACCTACTTTCAAAACAATTTAGAAAAAATTTAAGACTAACTCAGCATCAGGATGTAGTCTAGCCACCTTCTCCAATTCTTCAGCATTGTCAAATGTCATCATCGTTACATTCCTCTCCTTAGCATGTGTAATGAATGATCGCGTCTTGCATGGATTCGCATAGATTATACGATCCGCCGTCACACCCATGTCCATAACCTGTGTTAAGGTTGATTTAGAGTTTTTCTAAGATTTTTGTAGTTCCACCAAGTTTTTCGAGTCTTAAAAATAGAAACTTACGATGTCAATCTCTTCTCGGCTTGCGCAATCAAATCCTACTCCTAGAGAAGCGAGGACACGAATAAGAACAAGGTCTGTGTTGCATTTCACAGCATAGAAGGGCTAAAAAAATT